GCCTGGTGATAAGCGACACGCCTGTCCGTAACAGTTGCTGTGCCACTCAGAACTTTCAATCACAAAGATCTGAGGGGCTCTGCCCCTGCGCCCGTCACTCTGAGACTTGAGTCGCCAAGTCCCATGTGCATGTAATTTCACTAGCGATGCTCACTTTAGTGCTTGGCGGCAGAAATAGGAAAGGTAAGGTACTTCCATGAACGAACTCTTATATAAGGAGCTCTACTGCTTATATAACATTTTGTTCTTTCAATTTCTTTTCATATTATGACAAAATAGGTCTATTAAGTCGCGACGTCCTTTTCGCTATTGCATATTTTTTAAACTGCTCAATGCGCTTCTGTATCGTCAAGTCTTGTAGATATCTGCATTAGAAACGAAGCAAACTTTAAAACATAAAACGTAATACTTATAAATAGAACAACGTGTAAGTACCTACTCGCTGCTAAACCTGTTTATACAAAGGATAATGGCCATCATCGCTTCCACCCTAATTACTATGCCGACATTGTTTGCCGCCAACGGCCTAGTATCCGTAATCCGGTGATTGCTAGTCCCGGGAAAGGCGAAACAAAAATTGAAAACATTGACATTATTCTTTGTAAAGTCCTATGAATCATTGAGCATGGAAGAGAAAATGTGAGACTTCACGCATAGTCAACTGAAATTAGGTAATGTTGCTATTCGACGAAAATTGTGAAGATTGCATTATCTTTACTATCAAATATATAGCGTTTAGAATGTTTTATGCTTTTTTTATGAATATAGATCAGTAATCAGTAATCAGTAATCGTTTATTGCATAGTCACATGTTAATAATATTAAAATTACAGTACACGTGACACCCTGTAAGGGTGTTTGCAAAGAGAGTGGCGCTATACATATTTTAAAAATAAGATAAAAATTATTACGCAGTACTATTTCCTAATTGATACCACGCATACAAAATGGTGTCTAGTAGGACTATATGTATAATTTACACATTATGTTTCAACTCTATACCAATTGATATAATTCTAAAACTAAATACTAATTGAAATAATTTTACCTACATACATTTATACACAGAAACATACAATTATAATTTTCTATTATTATTTCATATTAAATCATTTAAAAAAGATAGCAGTTCATAACTCCAGTCCAGACACACAATTGATTGAAGCTTAGCTTGCAGTGTAGCATTCCCAGCGGGCGGCGCCGCGGGCGGTTTAACTGGTTTTTGGCTTGCGTTTTTTGAAATTTGGTTAGCAAGTATAAAAGTTAATTCGGGTTGATTGTCTTTTAATAATAGCACCTTTCTCATTTTTCTCTATAAAATGTAGTTGTCAGTAATTTATAGAATTGGCTGAGATGCGTGTAGTGCCAAGTTATAAATAAAAAATCAAAGTGTAAATTCGAATTTTAGATTTTGTTGTGGTTGCTTATTAGTGTTATAGTAAACGTTAAGCTCAAAGAACAATTAATGTTATTATATTTCATTTTTAATTTTATTATTTGTTTAAAATTAATTTAATTTTAATAAAAATTTCAATTATTATGTTCAAAAATTATAAATATTTATAGTTTTTATAACTTTCTAAGTCAGTATTTGCTTAAGTAATGAGCTTACCTATAACTGGAATACATTTAAGAACAATGCAGAATGTAACCTCTAGTATAAGCATTATATGTAATTCTGTTGGTTTGCTAAATAAATAAATTAATTAAAGAACAAAAACGCGAATTGAGCAAAACAAGTCCACAACACGTTGTGGTATCTTTAAAATATCAATAACACGTTATTCGTGTTAATATTATTAAAATATCGGCTAGCTTAAAAAAATCACAATACAACATTCGCATCGTGGCTCTCTTATGTTTAATCACTCCGCGTTGTGGTCATTACGTAACTCGTTCACGGAAGAATTACAAACACCTGTCGAATTACAAACGCCGTTTCCGAGTCTGAATACCAGTGGGCTAAATGTGACTAGTCATCATCATCAACCCATTTATACGTGCCACTGCTGGGTACGTGTCTCCTGCCAGGTAGTTTGTAGTATTTTTGTCACAAATGTAATTCATAAAATAAGAAACCTATACTTCCTTATGACAGCAAACACGGTAGATTTTATGTATTGTTCACTACTACCTCTTTACTACTTCACCTATTATATACAATTTTTTTGCGAAATGTGACTATGTTAGAAGTGTGTAATAACGAGTACAGTTTTCCCTATCTTTCCGAACTCTATCGTTTTGTTTTGTCACTTCAATACCAGTTAGTGAACTTGCATATATAAATACTTTAAGTTTCGAGTCACGAATCTCTCCTGCCAGGAGAGAGTTTAGGCCGTTTGGGCATAGTCCGCCGTCCTGGCTTAATGTAGTTTGGGGACTACTCAGATCATGACTAGTAAAAGGAACATTTTAAGAATTTTATTATCAATTTATATAAAAGATTAAAGATAAAGAAATCATAAAGAAAAAAATCTTAACATAACCTTTTCTTATTAGTTAACATATTCAGAAGGTGTGGTTGCAACCCGTTGTACCTATCGTGGTTCCATCGTGATCACCACAAAACGTAGTGGTCAAATACCATGAGCGCCACGACGCGACGCGGACTTCGTATTGTGATATTTTTGAACTAGTGACAACCATAGATATAATATGAAAAAATCGTGTCTATGGTCACAAAGAGTTCCGGCTTTTTTGTTAAGTGCCAGCAGCTACCTTGTGTTTGGGCTTATGTAATTCGTTTTGACGAGGACTTCCACTATGTATTTCAGTTATCGTCCAGGAGACCACGGCAACAAACATTGAAAGAGAATAAGCAAAGCAGCTTTGCGGTCGATTTTTTTAATAAAAAAGATTAATTGTCTTTTGTTTGTTTTCGAAGAGACGTGTGTCGATGTCCGATGGCGTCGAGGACACCCTTCACTTTTGTAGTATTTTTGTCACAAATGTAATTCATAAAATAAGAAACCTATACTTCCTTATGACAGCAAACACGGTAGATTTTATGTATTGTTCACTACTACCTCTTTACTACTTCACCTATTATATACAATTTTTTGCGAAATGTGACTATGTTAGAAGTGTGTAATAACGAGTACAGTTTTCCCTATCTTTCCGAACTCTATCGTTTTGTTTTGTCATTTCAATACCAGATAGTTGAACTTGCACATATAAATACTTTAAGTCTCGAGTAACGAATCTCTCCTGCCAGGAGAGAGTTTAGGCCGTTTGGGTATAGTCCGCCATCCTGGCTTAATGTAGTTTGGGGACTACTCAGATCATGACTAGTAAAAGGAACATTTTAAGAATTTTATTATCAATTTATATAAAAGATTAAAGATAAAGAAATCGTAGAAAAACAATCTTAACATAACCTTTTCATATTACCTTATATATTAATATATTATATAATAGTTTACATCCCTGTGCTGTTACAGAAGCTTGAATCGCTTGGTATAAGGGGCATACAGCTTAAATTACTCGAAAACTACCTGGAGGACCGATCCCAATGTGTTAAAATAGGTGACATTCACAGTTCTGATCTGAAGTGCACTTCATTTGGAATTCCTCAAGGAAGTATTTTAGGACCAATACTTTTTCTGATTTACATTAATGACCTTTGTAACCTAGATTTACAAGGTGCAAAGATCATATCCTATGCTGATGATACTGTTCTACTCTTTTCTGCAAACTCTGACAAGGAGGTATACGACTATGCACAGCGTGGATTCAATATAGTAAATAACTGGCTCCAACATCATTTGCTAACACTAAATATGGATAAAACTTGTTTTATGCAATTCCATATGCGGAAATCAAAGTCATTTATATCTAACCCTAAACTATATGCTCACCATTGTTTTGAGCCTACTAACAACCAGTGTAAATGTCTGGACATTGCTATTACTAACAAGATAAAGTATTTAGGTGTTATATTAGATGATAACCTATCCTTTAAACACCATATCGAAGCACTAAGCGCCCGACTCCGTAAGTTAATGTTTGTGTTTAAAAAACTACGCGTTTCTGCTGATTTTAAAATAATCAGGCAAGTGTATTATGCATTATGCCAATCATTAATTACTTACTGCATTACATCATGGGGTGGTATAGCTAAAACTACTTTACTAATCATTGAAAGAGCCCAGCGAGCTGTCCTAAAGGTTTCTACCTACCGCCTTTTCCGTTACCCCATTGACCTTCTGTATAAGTCATGTAAAATATTAACTGTAAGGCAATTATTTATTAAGTCCACAGTCCTCAAACAGCACGTATTACTCCCATATATTACTGAAAACACTAATAAAAGACGAAAAGATATTGTCTGCCCCAAAATTATATCATCAAAACATACTTTTATTTCAAGATTTTTTGTGTTTCTTGTACCATTTTTGAACAATAAATTAAACGCCAAATATTCCATTTATAATTTCTGTTGCTTTAAGGTAAAGAAAATTCTCCAAGAAGCTCTTCAAAATATGTCCTATGAGGATACAGAGAATTTATTTATAATCGTAAAATAAATGTTGTCTTGTTGAAGTGTACATTTTTTTGATTGGAAATTTATTGTTTAATTGTTTAATTTTATTTCATAAGATTCTCCTAAAAAGTATTTATAATATTAATAGTATCCACGTTTATAATTAGTAGTATTTTTTACCTGAAATACAGGAATTTCCTAGTTCAGTCAGGTACATGTGTTATTTTTACATTAAATCGCATAAGTAGTCTTTAGTTTTCTCTGTACATTATGTTACTGAATAAACAATTTTATTATTATTTTATTATATTAGTTAACATATTCAGAAGGTGTGGTTGCAACCCGTTGTACCTATCGTGGTTCCATCGTGATCACCACAAAATGTAGTGGTCAAATACCATGAGCGCCACGACGCGACGCGGACTTCGTATTGTGATCTTTTTGAACTAGTGACAACCATAGATATAATATGAACAAATCGTGTCTATGGTCACAAAGAGTTCCGGCTATTTTTTTAAGTGCCGAGACACGAATAACAAGTTATGATTATTTTTAAAGAGACCACAAGGCGTCGTGGATATTTTTTCGCGCAATGATCACTTTCGTTCTTTGAACCTAACATATATACATATCTTATTGTATATATCGCAAAATGTAGGTAACACATTTTATGTATATAATCATTTTCATTCGCCGTTATAACATCAGTCTAGAAACTACATTTCTCGTTCTTTGCAGAATCATAATATGGACATTAGCTTATTAAGATGTGGTCAAACAAGCGATATGTAAATACCGGATATATTGAGCTCCAGATACAGGTAAATAGTTGTCATGACCATGTGAAATAGCAAATGGCCCTGTTAACTCTTTAATATTGTTAGTTCCTTATATAGATATATCGAGTGCATAAGCGGATACCTGCTATCACGTGCCATATGGCGATGGCGCCACAAATTGACACTATACCTTGACGTCTCTAAGTATCGTCATTATACAGGGATTACTTCCTGTATCACTCTAACCTGGAAATATAGTTATTTCCAGGTTAAAGTATCAGGGTAGGTACTTAAGCGCAAAAGATTGTCTATGTAGTGACAAATTAACCAGTTGTAACTTTAACTTGTATCGAATACATAAGTAGATACCTGCTATCGGGTACAATATGGCGATAGTGCCACAAATTGGCACTATACCTTAACGTCTCTAAGTATCGTCATTGTACAGGGTAAAAAAATATATCACTGTGACCTGGAATTATAGTTATGGTACTTAAGTACAAAAGATCATCTATGTAGTGACTACTTATACAGTTGTAACGTTAACTTATATTGAGTACATAAGTAGATAACTAGCACGGATGAAGGCGAGTAAAAATAAATGTATAAATAAATAAATAATAAATAAAATAAATAAAATTTTGTTCCCGGAATTATTAGTACTGATAATTGTTAAATAGAACGTTATTTAAATTGTAGCTCGGTCGGTTCGGACATCGGTAAGGTGCTAGTTAATGCTCCACAGCGGATGAATTTTCACATACTAAGGTAACACGTATAGACAAACGTAAGATTCATTTTAATACATCCAAACCTAAAAATATTATACTAAGAGCCAAGGATACAACACGTCACAGTGGGCTCGGCCAATGTATAAGGTCAAAAAATATTTGGATACGAGTCTTCCTCTTGGCATTGCGCAACTTATGCGATGTATAGTGCTCATTAGACAAGAGAAAGTCAACTATACGACGCGTACGAGCCGGAGTATTAGTGCAAACGAAACATGTCAAATCATCGCCGTTATATGCTTAATGTGCATTTTCTTCCAGACACTTTTGAAACATTGGTATGTTGGTAATGACCATAGTTTAGAATTTTCTGTTTAATTATTGTTGATGTTGATGAAAAAAAATATGCATGATTTTTTTGTTCGATTTTGGAATTCGTTTTGAAGGTCATTACCATAATTTTGTATGTATTTATTACATAAGCTCTTCAGACGTATCTGTTACAAGATTGTTTGCTCTCGCTTTTGCAGATTGCCAGAATTTTCTGTGTTTAAAGTCATATAATGACCATGTCTCAGTCAAGATGTCAGGGCCCCGCTCCAAATTCCTGCTGTGGCTACCTGTCTTCGCTCAGGTAAGTTTTGTCACGTCGCATATCATTTGCGACATCTCGCAAGACTGTAATCACATAATTGTTGTTGTTTATTAACATTTTGCATTCTGGAATGGTTATAGAATCTATTTTTAGAAAGGTTGATCGTATTTAGTTCAAAAATCAATTTTGTAATGAAACTACTATTTTTTTTGAGGTAATGTAGTGCCTAATTTAAAACAATACGTAGGTATAGTTTAGTTAGCATTAACATACTTGAAAGGCAAATAAGTGCTTTAATTTTAGGTGTGGTAGGCGTAATTTTCAATAAAGAAGAAGCGTGTGTATCGATAAAGTATTTTTTAAAGATTAACGTTTAAAAAAAATCTAGCTGGTGGCTATCCACCAGCTGGATTATTTTACTACTACATTATTTTCTGTCATTTTTTCCACGATAAACATTGGTTTATAGAAAATAATGTTTCATTCAAAGTTGTTTTTTATAATAATAACTTTATTGATAGCAATTAATATATGCTAGAAACACAGTGTAAATTTGTGATTAATTGTTGACCAGTTAGAAAACACTCAGAATCCACAATGGATTTAATCTGTGTAAGCGGGAAGTACTGCTGCTGTAACGGCGAACAAATATCAATCATATTGTTTAATGACATATGGCTTACGAGTATACCAGTGCGAAAGATGTAAGATATGTTAAAAAGCAGTTATTGCATTTAAAGGAGACTTAATGTTGGTTTGATTATTTAGGAGTAGTGTGTGTCATGAAAGTGGAGAGTGGGTGTTACGAGTATGTGCTTGGACTTGTTAAAATTACATAGGTACGTGTAAGTGAAATATTATAATAGTGTGATAAAATTATTTCTTTTGAGTCCTGCTTTGACAGGTTTTGTGACGCCTGCTTTAAAATGATTAACAAAATGTAATATTTTTAATCAGTACATAAAAACGGAGAGGCAATCGCCCGTCACGTAAATCTTAGCAAGTACAACAGAATCGGTGATCAGAGTTCGATGCCTGGACTTTGCACGCTTTGCACGCGCTGTCAACGGATCAAGGTGCAATGTAGCAGCGAGCAGTATTGTTTGCCATTTACTTTATGTTGTAATTACTGATAATCGATTTTTAATAAATTAGTTCTATATATTTTAATGTTCTTTGAACTTGTGTTTGTAAATTCGAAATATTTGTTTAGCGTTTGTAACACAAAGGAAATAAAACTGTTTTTGTCAAACCTATATCACGTATATTTGTTTTTTCAAACAAACCAACGATTCGGGCCCTTTACAGGTCTCATGGCCACAGCTGACTGCGTTCGAAAGTCATCAACCAATTATATCTAATATTTGAGTAAAAACTCGGGCGGGTTGATTGGGTTTTAACCCACTGCCCATCTCTAGGAATGCAAGTTTTATATTTCTTACATATTCCACTATTGTGATGTGAATATTTTTTTTTTAGGTGTATGTTACTCCGACATTTGTGAATCGATTCCGATGATTCTATTTTTGTTGGTAAGGAGGTACTTCCATAGCGGTCTCAATCAAATTTGAAGAAAAAGTGTGGGAAATTAGGGGATAAATCCGCTTTATTGAATTTCACCCACTTTCCGTTAACCGATTTCAGTAAAATTTGGCACATACATGTAATACCAATGGAAATTAAATATTATGGTGGCATAGAGCTGATCTAATGATGGAAATGGCAGACAGATGAGAGGAACCTCTACCTTGTGTTTGGGCTCATGTAATTCGTTTAGACGAGGACTTCCACTGTGTATTTCAGTTGTCGTCCAGGAGACCACGGCAACAAACATTGAAAGAGGATAAGCAAATCAGCTTTGCGGTCGATTTTTTTAATAAAAAAGATTAATTGGCTTTTGTTTGTTTTCGAAGAGACGTGAGTCGATGTCCGATGGCGTCGAGGACACCCTTCACTTTTGTAGTATTTTTGTCACAAATGTAATTCATAAAATAAGAAACCTATACTTCCTATCACAGCAAACACGGTAGATTTTATGTAACGTTCACTACTACCTCTTTACTACTTCACCTATTATATAAAATTTTTTGCGAAATGTGACTATGGTAGAAGTGTGTAATAACGAGTACAGTTTTCCCTATCTTTCCGAACTCTATCGTTTTGTTTTGTCACTTCAATACCAGATAGTTGAACTTGCATATATAAATACTTTAAGTTTCGAGTCACGAATAGTTTGCGACTCGGCCATCACACAAAGTAGCCTCTTATGCCAATTTATTTGATTATACGCCTTTTATTGTCTACTGGCATTGTTGGAATTGCCAATATATATTTATACTGTAGGACCGGTCCTGGAAAAACAGATTCTGCAGATGAACTAAGGTTATTGAAGATGCAGCTTATACATATATCAGTATTGCATGCAACAACAATGTTTTTAAGATTTTAAGACTTTCGTGGTTATTCACTAAATGATTATCACTAATTTTAGGCTTCTTACCACGGTATGACTTCTTTTTATTTTCCTGATATTTCAGAACGGTTGCACGCTCCATGGTCACGGGCTGACTGAAAGGCGGCAGATGATGGCTTTAAGAGCAGACGTATCTGTCTACCCTCTTACGCTGTCGACGACCACTACCTTCGTCGCGATTTGTTGTGGCGTTACTATTGTCACTCACTTTTTTCACACAAACCACACAAAAGTGAGTGACAATGGTAACGCCACAACAAATCTTTGTTTTTATATAAAAGACCCGCACTAGGGAAACTTTGTGTCGCGGGTGCCATGGACACACACACATAGGCAACCACAAATTACACCCAAACTCACCAGAGACTCACTTTCTCTCGGCCTGAGAATCGAACCCAGGAGCTCTGCGTCCAGCATGGTAACCTTTCGGCGACAGAGGTAGTTATTTAGAAGATCAACCTGTATTTGTTTCAATTGTATTGCTTACATGAGATATAATAACTTTGCCATGCAAGCAGGATGAAGTATATGGCCATACCTAGCAAAAAATCAATTGTTTTGAGCACTATGGCAAAACTTATAAACACTGCGCCACTCGTAGTAGAAGACGACAATTTCCTTTACAAATATTTTTATCGTAATAGTCATAAAATATTGAAAACAATTGATTATTTTTGGTGCACATACTCATACAGTTTTGTAGTCAAGGTGCCCCAGTGGAGTCTTACTACTTGTATAACATTTTTGTTCATTTACATTCCAACTACTAAAAGTTTACTTAATTTTGTTGTTAGTCGGCCATAGACTATTGCAGGATTACGTATGGCAGTGGCGATGGCGTCAATTGGGTTTGTAAATTACTTACTGGTGTAAACAATTTCTAAAAAAATCTTACGTAACAAACAATAAATATATAACGTTAGACGTCACTATTCTACTACAAAAAACTTCTTGGCTGTGTTGTATTTATCTACGAGTCAGACGGTCTAATAAAAACCCATGTTCTTACATCTAGTAATAAGAAATATAAACACGTTACAAAATTTGTGTTTGCCTTATTACATCATCATTTTTGTCATCACTAAACTGAGATATAAAGTCATTTGCTAAAATTTTATTCACCTTTCTTAATGCAAGCACACCTACTACTTTCCTAAAAACAAAGATCCGCAACAAGCATATAATACAAATTCATGAGATCCTCCTCTGCCGCGGTAAAGTTGAAATGCATGTAAGATTTTTTCAAAAAATTTTGTTAAGAGTATATACGATACCACCTCATCTCGAATTCAAATTCATCATCTTGCACCACGATAATGCCAGTTCTCACATGGCCAGACAGACAAATGAATTTTTGAAGGTGAACAACGTTGACCTTATGAGCCATCCCGCGTATAGTCCCGACCTGGCACCTTGTGACTTTTATTTATTTCCAAAAATTAAGAACCAGTTACGCGGTCATCGATTTTCATCACCTGAAGAGGCTGTCCAAGAGTATGAAAAATATGTTTCAGAGATTGTCACGGAGCAGTCGCATAAATGTTTTTAAAATTGGTTCATTCGTATGAAAAAATGCATAAACGCTAACGGAGAATATTTTGAGAAACAATAAATTCATTTCTGACCTTTATAGTATTTTTTTCTTATTCATTCCGGAAATTTATAGTGCGCCCCACGTATCGGCAATTTTACTCATTTTTTTCCAAAAGTGATTGATTTAACACTTTCACTGCAATGCGAAATCAACTAAGGCAATTTGAGGTTGCATAGTAGTATATTCTTAAGTATACTGCCGTGATCAGTAAAAAAAAGTCCGATCCCTCATTGTGTTAATTTTATATTATTTTACGTAAGAGAAAAGTAGACTTTTTTTAAATTTCATTTCTTCAAACATTATTTTATCCGTTTTGAGTTTTTGTCACGTGCGGCCTTTCAAGTAACGGCGGCAGTGCTGACTCGATCTGTAGCCCAGTTGGTAAGAGCGAGCGGTGGCTCCGGTGTGGCAACAGACGCTATTTCATGCCCAGTCAGGTTGAAGGATTTTTGTCGTCACTCAATAATATAAATATTGCAATTAAACAAAGTCATTAAACACTTCAAATATTTTAATTTTGTATTTTGACAACAACTTGATTATCAATAATATTTAATCTCTTCAATTCTGGTTCGTAATCTAGAGTCTAGATTATTACTGAATACTATATTATTTGGAAAAATAATATAGTATTCAGTGTCTAGATTCTAGATACTGAATACTGTATTATTTTTCCATAATGTTAACAAGGTGTTACAAAATATAATTCAGAGAGCTTTTTTATGGAACCCTGTTGGGTACAGCAAATGAGAGGGAGGTCTTTTTAATAATTATTATTGTAATAAATAAACTATATAAACATGTATTTAAGTATTAATATAATATTATTATTTATTTGTATTTGTTAGGTATATACGTAGATTATGCCCAATGAAAATAGTGTCATTTAGGTATTCCTGTATGGGTATAATATTGTTTTGTGGCTATTAAATTCTGTATTTGTTTTATAAATTCTTTTCCTTTGTTTAAATATTTAATTGAGTTTCATGTTTGGTAGTTCGTTATATATTTTAATTAGACATAGTAGGCCAGAATGGTGTTATAGCTTTAAACGAGAGATATGTTTATTTGTCCCGGTGGTGACATAAACAGTACCCCGTATACCTACATATTTTAGTAGGTACGTTTATTGCACTTAATCAAGTGTAATGGAGGTTTTTAGTTAGTAAGCATTTTACTACACTAGTACTAGTTAGTTAACTGAAAAATGCAGATAGTCTTTACAAACGGTTACTTGAAATTTTTATCTATCAAGAGTTCTTAATAGATTTTCTGCAACTGTGACTCACCGGATGTGATTCAATCATATGACATTGTAGTTATCAAAATTCTCATGACATGAGTAGGTATCCTTAATGTTCGTATTGAATATTGAAGTTCCAATATGTTTTAAGGGAAAAAACAAACTTGAAACAAAGAGGCAACGGCTGAACAATAGAAGGATATTTCCTTAAACTTAGTACACCTACAATAATTTCATGCCACCTATGTTTCATACCACCACAAGGACATTATTAAAGATAATTTTAAAGGATTTATCATCCAACTCCATCGCCAGATAAGCTAGACAGTATACATAGACTAACTATGACTAAGTTTCCAAAATTTGGACCCCATCATTAGCTTCAAGGCTAACCGGTTTTGTGTCACGACTATGAAAATGTTTATGAACGAACAATTTCAATCCTAATCTATAACAGGTTAATACCACAGTGTAACCAATTCCTATGTTCTTTACACTGTGTTAATACGTAGCATTTTAGAATACTTTTCTACTGTGTGGAACCCATGTGTATTCAAAAACGTTTTCTTTATCATCTAACATACAATAATTTTAAGTGTAAACAGCTACATTTCTACGTGTCACGTTTCTCTTACTTTAACATGTCCTCATTGCAAAAACGCCGAAAAGGACTTGATATGATGTTTTATTTAAACTTATTCAAGGTATTATAGCCGCACCTGACATCCTCGAATGTCTGTGCTTCTGCGTCCTCCATCTTGGCAGCCGCTTATGCAATCGTAAAACGTTTAACTTGTAAAACTAACCTAGGTCAACACTGTCCACTGTATCGCACGTACTCTTCTTTCAATACTCTCTAGATTTGATTTTGACATATCGATGCCTTACTTTCTCAAACTCGTATCTTAG